ATACTTTGCAAAATATTGTGAAAAGCAATGCATGGGTCGCCAACTTGTCGATACAATCGTGTGCAGACAGGGGCAATACAAATCTTCACACATATTACACTTGCAGATGTAACGGTGAAGAAAAACAAAAGAAACACTGCGTCACCGATAGGCCGATGTAATGGATAAAGGGTGTGGGCCGCTTGGAAGAAGGCGACCAACTCGCTTTCTGCAGCGGTAATCCAAAGTCCACGCATGAGCCCGGGTTGGACCGCGAAAAAGTTACGTGCTGCAAAAGCGCGGAAGGGGAAGTCGCTCTCTATCCTACCAACTCACATCCATGGACAAAATTGAAGAAATCATACAGATGTGCCTCCTAACACCAACAGCCTAAGAACAGTGACGGCTTATCATGAAGTTTTATAAGCAGAGTTTCGCGCAGCAATGCTAATTCCCTTGCCTCGCCGATCACCTGATGCCGCTTAGGACGGCGGAATGAATGACGCTCTCCACAACATCGGGCTTTGCGTACATGCGACCCGAACCACATACGAATTCAAAACTTAAAAGTTTTCCCGAAAATGACTGCTTTTCAGTACTCACCTTCCCTGTTTCATCATTTCCAGGATCATGTTGAATAGGTTCAAGGCACAGAGGAGGAGCTTCTAGTATGTAATCGTGATGACAATACCAATCCTCGTTTTCCTCATTATAGAGGAAAACTTCTAAGGTGTAGTTATCCTAAACGGTAAAATACACGTGAAATACTAATCATAACGAGAACTGGGTAAACTTGGAGTCATGACAAGATTTCCAGAAGAAGACCTCTAGAGGTTATTGGTGAAGAGTAAACAGGTTTACAGGAAATCGCCTTGCGGACAATGCGTGAGGCTTTTCAGACATCTCCACAAACACTTGTTACAGAGCAGAATAGGAATGTGACTGCATGCAACAAGTTTGTGAAGGAAACATACCCGATCAATTTTCGCCAAAGCGACCAAGTTGTCCTCAGGCTTCACTTCTATTTCCTCCTTCTCTTCTTCATCGCTATCGACGTGCAGAGTAACATATGGATCATCAACGTTGGACGCATACATAGCGATCCCTCGCATTCTGCGAGCGTAAAATGATGATTAGTGAAGAAAATCAAAAAGGCAAACAAACAGTTTCTATGGAGTGGAATATCTGGTCAAAAATTCATAGCATCAGCTCAATAAGTTCGAGGAAGTTGCGTGAAAGAAATCGCCTACCCGCTATCAGGCTTTGCCTCTTCGTCGTCCTTTTTTTCAACCATTTCTGCTTCTTCACATGTCTCTGTTTCCTCTTTAGGTGCAGATCCTCGAATACCAGGTTCGCGCTAAAATTGATCGTGATCATACTAGACTGGAAAAAGTAGCTGCAGCTTCGGTACGAGGGATGGAGAAAATTAAATCCTTCAAGGCGATTCACACAATGAAGTAAAAGCAAGTAAAAAACTTAAAACTAGCTTAACACATTGCGGACCGCCGTTGTATGAGCACCTTCGTATTTTTTTATATTTTTCAAAAATGTATCATCATTAATCTATCAACAATTTTATCAGTGATGACACGTATGGTTTCCCGGCTCTGAAAATGAGTGCAAACAGTTGAGAGCATTGAAAAATGTCAAAAAAAATCAGATAAAACTAGGCGCTTCAGGGTGGCACACGCGGTACGCGATGTATTCAAATGAAAAAAAAAACTCTAATCACATACCTTAGACTCACCATCACCGTCGTTGTCGCTCTCCATGTCCGATGTGTCAGGAACACTACCTGAATGCAATGAATAGATACAAAACATCTTAGTAGGACTCTCATCACTTCTGATTTTGAAATGAATCCACATGTCTTCAGACGTGGAAAAGAAGTTGTTTTACTTTTAACAGGGCTGGCCACAAAAAAACATTCGGAGTAAGTAAGATTCATAATGTGTAATGGGATAAAAAGGAATGCTTCAATAACTTCTATGCAACTGCGAGGCAGCACGTATTGGAAGTGCCAAAGCGGCTAGCAAAACTGAGGTGTCGTGGAACAAATACAATAAACACCCACACAAGTTTAAATTCGACCCTCTTTATTTGATTACTCATACTAATTTAAACTGTTGCTTCCGTGAACTACTCAGCCTGTAGACTATGCAAGACCAATTGCTTGATCACAGCGAGGACGATCAAAAAATTAAGATATGATGCCATTGACACTTTTGGATA